AAATGTAAGCTCCCACGAGAAACCAACATAAAACATATTCGAATTATTCAGGAACGCACGCAAAAATTCCTATACGTGGGGAAAAAGTTAGCAGGAAAAAAATATAATATTTGTTACGACCCTGATGAATAGTACGAGGGATGAAGGTCCCAAAAGGCCTAAAAGTATTGGTTAACATTGGCCGCGCTGTGTTTCGTCGCGCGGCCTTTTTCCGTGCCGCGCTGGGACCGTTTTTCCACATCCTCGGCGTCCCCAGGACGAGCGGTCGACGACAAATGAAGATTTATCAAATCAGTTTTCAGTTTTGCGCTTTCCTACTGTTTCCTTTCACAATTTCGGGCATAAATTCAATTTCTACACGAAATCAAAAAACGGAACTAACGAATTTTTAAACTTTTAAATTGTTCATTATAATAGTCAATTCGTTTGCAAACTTAGACTTTACTAAGTTTGCGAGTGTAAAATAGTCCCAAATGGAAATGAACGAAAAAAAGGAATTAAAAGTCGACAAAAGGGTGTCAAGAGAAGCGAAGCACAGCGTACCGAGAGAAAACTTATCGGAAAATATTCCAACGCGCACGCCTGCTAATTATAAACGAGAAAAAGTTTCGTCCGCCCGTCCGTCTGGTAACTATCACGTCTGGAGCTTATCACTTCGTGCGCACAAAGAGCAGGCCCGCTCCTTAACATTTTTTACTCTTTCAAAAGAAAAAAAAAGCGCGCAAAGCGCTAACGAATCTCTGGAAAAATAGTTGAGTTATTATGGACCAAAGGACAATGCACAAAAGACCCTCCGTTTCCGTAGGATGAAAAAATGCAAACAGAATCAAAACTTTTCCGTCGAGAGAATCTCATGCTGAATACGTAAATAGATTTCTTTAAACCTCCCACATAATTTCTTTGTTTTAACATTTCGCGTCGTATCCTTATGTCCAGCTGTATAAGCTCGATCATTTATTATCCTTCAGAGTTCGGTTTTGGGGCAATCTTCTCATGTCACGCTCGGCAAACTTTCTTACCCCCTCATGTCCGACACATGCAGGACACCGAATCGTCGGGTATAGGTCGGGACTAATTGTGCGTGTCGCTTCTTTCGGCCCTGTTCGGAATGCACGCCACATCGTGCGGAAATAGTCGTGAATGCCGTGGCAATCCTGGCAATCCCTCGGTATTGTGTATAGGCTGTAAGGGGGTGCCGAGAGTGAGTGAGCTACGAGGTTACAAGGCTAGAAGGTTACGAGCGGCAAACTTGTAAAAGTTAAACGTGCGTGTGCGGCGAGCTTTGGCTTACAGCCGAAGCTTAAAGCGACGAATAGACGAGATGAGTCGGCTGAACAGCGCATAAAGGTCGCGCGATACACGAGTTCGGCGTGTGTGTGTGTGTGGGAAGGGGGGCGAGATGAATAAAAGAAGAATTTGCGGCCGTCGCCGACACAAAGCGCGCGTAGAGGACTGATCGATGTCGAGATTTTCATTACAAAAGCACGTCGGGATGCCAAAAGACAGCTAATTAATTGGCTTTCGAAGGGAAGACTCCATTTGCACTCGAATTTCTAGATTATATATCAAAACGAAAATTGTAATTGATCAAAGAAATGAATACAATATAATTGTCGGAATGATTTAAGGCTTCCCGGAGCGAAATGATAAAATAAGGATCATGATGATGAAACGAAACCATAAAACCACCTCCAACAAAGAAATGAATTACGTTGAGCAAACAAAAAAGAATAGTACTAAAAATACAACGCAAGAAAAAAAAAAGTATATTTAGCCAAGTTGCTAGGGAATTACGAGTAGATGCAGAAACTCCGTCGGAAAATGGAAATGGCGGCGAGGAGATGTGAACATCATCACATCATCTCGTATGCTTGCTGAATTAGTTCAGTCTCGTGTGTAACGAGCAAAGAGTACAGCAAAATGTAAACTATTAATGTTTGTCTTGGCGAATGTGTCTTCACTATTAAGTCGCGAATGCTGCCTGTGCGGTATGGTTGACTTAACAATTTATTAATTAGCGAAATTAACAAGGATCACTAACATTACGTCTTCATTGCTTACTATCTGGATCAATCTACCCACATCCTACATCCTATTACTTATTTATTATATGCAGTATATTTTACTGTTTGATGTGTTCGCATCTTGATTAATATTTAAGTTTTTAGTTAATTATTCAGCTACTATATGAATTATTACAATTATTTTTAAGAAAAATATTCAAGGAGTATGTTAAATTCAGTTAAATGAAAATAATTGCAAATAATTGTTGATTGCAATAATCTATAATATAAAAATGAATCACAAAATGTGCTGATAAGCGCATAACTCAACAATGCCTAAACCAATTTGGCTAATTCTTTTTTAAAATGTTCGTTAAAGTCGAAGGATGGTTTTTACGGCAAGAAAAATTGGAATAATTACCGGGTAAACCCTAAAAACAGCCTTTTTCTATAAAATAAAAGTTAGCATTGAGATTCAATCATTGTTATAGTTAAATAGTTGAATCCGAGATGGCGCGCTGAAGTGCATTATTAGCAATTCTTTATATAATTAATTTCGTTAAAATAAAATTGCGAATCTTATTGATAGAATTGACACATACTATGTCTAGAACAAGAGAGTAAAAACGAATTACATTTTTATTAAACATTACCGAGACGAAGTCGCGGGCAAAAGCTAGTATATAATAAGTTATAAACAAGTTAACTTATTTGCTTTTAATTTACAAATTTTGATTTGAAATTTCATGCTCCTGACAATAGTTTTAAAGCAATTAAATGTTTAGGGTCGCAAATTTTCTTGTTATTTTATTGTGTATGAATAATACAAATGCAAATGATGACTACAGACAATTAAGTTTTTAATGAACTCACGTACGTAATATAAACATAAATAAACAAACGCAAATTCAGTCCCTATCTGCAAACATACTCGTACTTCCTTCGTCTTGACTTCTTCGCGGGCGCAAAGCAAAGTAGTGCTACACCCTGCGTTGCGATACGCACGAGACGACGAAGGAAGAACGACGTCACGACGCGTGCTAATTACGAATGCTCGACGCGTGCACACTTTGTATGTACATTGTGCACATTTCCATCGCGCGCATTTCCACGACCGCCGCGCACACAAAATGCCACATTTCTACGAACCGCGCAAAATACGTCTGAATTCCGTCTTCCACACCAAATCGTCGTGGAATTTATTCCCCGACAAGGCGGTGGTGTTCCTTTGTTTCAAAGCGTATCTTTGTTTCCGCATTACGAAGTTTCGTTTTTGGCGAATTTGATGTTTGTTTTCTTTGGAGCAAAGCAACATAAACATGTAAATTATCACAATGAGTTTTTTAAGTTCAAGTTTAAGAGTAATTATAATTAATAATAATAAGTAGCTTTGTGACTGACTGCAACCAATGATACACATCAAAGAAAATATTCAGCATTTTCAATGATTTCCAAATATATTTCACTTTAAAAGTCAAATGTTAACTTCAAAAGACAGTTAATTAGTTGTGGTTATACGTGTGTACTTTCAGCCGCTTGCGGCATTATCAAATAAATGCAAGAGATGAAAACAAAACAACAAATAAACAAATGAATAATTCGCAACTCTCTAGTTAAGTTATATCACCTCTAAACGAGCGCTGGTGTCCTGTGCGCCGTCATTTCATTTACGGCATTCCGACATCGTTAGGTTAATTAACGTCGGCCACCGTGTTTGCCGTTCAGAGCCTTTTTGCGTTCGACATCCTTGCCATCTTTACTCAACGCTGCTTCGCTTAATGCTACCACTACCACACAAGTTGAATTACGAATAAAAACTTTTAATTATAAATAGGGAATGCTTAGCTCGTTAACCGGGCGAAAACGTAAGCGCTTTACGTTGTACAAGTTAACAGTAGTTGCACAACGTCGGCCAAACTGTGATATAAACCATTCTTCAAATCCGATATGCTTTTTTTCCGCTCGCTGGAAAATCATTAACTACGGAATAGATTTTCAACTTGAATAAATAAATGCCGAGTTGATACAAAACGAAAAAAAGGATAAAAAACAACTGCGAAATATTATTTACGCGCATGTAAAAACAAATATGTAGATGCGTGAAAACTGGCTGGTGCGATATGATAAAAATGTGTGCATTATTATCCACAAACGAATTAATTCGGGCGTGCATTTTCAATTACAATAATTGCCAATTTAATAACGACGTAACAGTTCGAGCGTATTGCAAATACAACTGCCAATACACTGGTCCTAACTATATTAAACGAATAATTGACATAAAACTGGACAATTGGTGTAAAAATTCCATTGATGGCCGATATTCAGCGGAAGGAAAATATTGTAATAGACAAAGTTATCATTTCTTTCAATACTACCTATTTACAACTTTAATTAAAAGAAGCCTCATTAATTCTTTTCTTATTCCTTGGAGCTATTGTGTGCCAAGACCGCCAATTTGTCAATTTTAAAAGTTTGAAAATTTCTAATTATGCAGATAAGCGCCTTCTACATTCGAATTATATGACTATAACTATAATTGAATATTCATACCAAGTTTAATTACGAATTTTACACTTTTTAAGTTTAATTTTAACCACAAAAGAAGCTATCTTGCTTTTTCTTGATTTGATCAAAACTGGTTCCGTGATTTTTGCGTGAAAGTATCTCAAATAAACAAACTTACACTTTGTCTAAAAAAATTATCCCAAATTCAAAATTATTAATTTTGAATAAATAAAGTTTCAAGATTTAAATTCAATTTTATGATAGTCCTTTAATGATATTTACGACTTTCTGGCACATTAACTATGCCTTTTTTGACATACAAAGATGCGCTCTATATATCAGTGCTGCGTGATGGCAGCATGCATAAATTTCACAGCACAGTGTTATGGTGATACCGAAATAATAAAGTCAGAGTCGGTAGAAGAAGAAGAGCGCCGAGAGTGGTGTGGAGGCAAGGCCGTAATAAAGTCATGGGCAATTTGTACTCACCAAATACCACTGCTCCTTGAAGAGCGGATCGGGGAAGGCACGCGCCGGAACGGCGGCGCGATAACGCGGCTGCCCGTGGCGGCTGGGGCCCGCCGTCGCCGCCACCCCCGGTCCTCCAATGCCTGCGCCGGGTGCAACGCCGCCAAAGTACTGGACAAACGGTGACGTCGACGGTTGCACGTAGTCGCGCTTCTTACGCTTCTTTTCATGTTGTTGTTGTACCCATTGGATCTGAAATGTCAAAAATAAAATTATTAATCAAGAGTTTAACTATTTAAAAAAAAATTCAAAATTTCAATTTTTTTTTAATCTAAATCTGTTCTCATACCGCTAATATTTAGTTTTATTCAGGTTTTGTTTCAATGTTTTATTTTTATTTTTGATGTTTGTAGTACTAAATGACGCCCGACATTGTATCCGCCCGCCACAATCCGAAATCAAAGCCAAAAACGCGTTTCGGTCGCGCGACTAGATTTATGCGCCATATTCGAGAGATGGCCATTTCCATGTAATACTCCCCTCCAGCGAAAATTGGCAGGACGCAAAGGCGGAATGCGTGAACGGCACGCAATTTGCAGCACACCACTGAAAATATCATCAGCGACGACAGCCCTCAGTACTCTCGCATGCGAAATGTTTTCTATTTATAGTACTTATCTCGTGCGCGATGATGGGAGAGACGATTCTAATTTCCACTCCAATTTCCTACTCTTTGTCGCAATATTATGCGCAACACATGTGTGAGTCCGAAACGAATGACTATTGAAAGTTTCATTTCGCCACATTCATATATACACAACATCCTTTTGCGCACGCAAAAACAGAAAATGTTTCCGGTTGACTATATTTTTTGTGGCAGCATTCAAAATTACTTTTCAATATTTTGCAAACACACCACACAAACCGAGCGGAAACATCTTGCAGCAATCTATGGAAAACATTAATTACGCACTTCCAATACGCTTCCCGCTTGGGTTGAGAGAGCAACGCCGAGCAATTTCGAGCGGAAAGATAACATTTTAAGCATCTGCTCCGGTTTTGTCTTGGGAGAGCCCGGCGCCTCCACTTTTAATACTCGCACTTCGGCGCCGCGCGCGCGCCACGGAAAAGAAACGAACGCAAAACGCGCAACGCCCAACGCAAATTGCTAAATAACGGTAAATCATTTAAAATGTAAATAGTCTAAGCCGGCGTGAGGCAATTCGAACGTAAATCATTTTAGCTCGCGCGGCCAGTTCGTAATTTATGCAATTTATAAACGCACCGAATGTTTACGAAATAATTTATCGTTTTCCAGCGAGCAGCGTGCGCGCGCGCGAACCCGCCGAGAAAATATCTTCAGGCGTACGCATTGCGTCTTAATGCCGCTTTAATTCCGTCTTGTTATGGGTATTACATTAATTATCAATTAATTATTGCGACCAACTTTAAACGGAGGCATTATTTACACCCGCGTAATATTTAAGAATCAATTTTAATATTTTACAATACAGACAATTAAAATGAAAAACAAAACAAATAAGGTTAGAATTCTTTTTGACAAGTAAAGTATTATAATATGTTTTACATTATCTGTAACTAAAGAGCATATCATTATGTTTCCTGTAATATGAAAAGTAACCAACCATAATTGAACATAGGTACAATGAATCATTCAATATGAACCTGTCAGAAGTTTGTCATAATTAGGTAGACGTGTTACATACTAGTTACATGTTGCATTAATTTTGTTTAGAATATCAAACTATTTTTAGCTCCCAGACTGAGTTCCAAATGCCAAATGCAAATCATAAATCGAGTTAAAGTGTAGCTAATGGACGTGCATACATCGACATATCCACGCACGTCATATCGTGTGCGCCATTGTGATAGGCGCTATCAATATCCATCGATGAATGATGTTTGCACACGCTACAATCTATAATGCAGATATACGATAGGTGTGAGTGGCGCAATAAATTGAGATAGCGCCAGGATTCGACTTGCAAAGATGGTAATTCTATAGCGAATTGCGATAGGTGGAAACGTGACAAACGCAAAAAATCAGCGATCAACAAATATAAATTTCCATGAAAATAAATCAAATCGAAAAAAAAAAATATTTTCCAATCTCTAGGCAGTAAAGTAAACATTTTAGTCATGTTTGTAACATGAATAACTAGTATTCATAAAAAAGAGCATTTAAAGCCAAAAATTCCCTATTGGTACATGCTTAAGCCCAACGAATGTAATAAGAAAATAACTAAAGCCCCGGTTAAGATGCCGAGCTTTGTGGGATGCACGCAAGAACGAGGCAAAAATGCAAAAACAAACAAAATCGCGGTGCAAGTCCACGCCGAGCACAAGCAAACACGCAAACAATAGAATAAAAAGACAACACGGTCGACGGATGCCGATGCCAATAGCATCACTGGCGTGTGCAAAAAAAACAGGCAACGGGACGAGAGAAGGATGCGGGCACACACACGTCACACGATGTGGCGGCGGTGGCAGCGGCAACGCGCGAAGCGCGAGCATCAAGGAATTTTATTTACGAGCGCGGCGAACGTGAATTATGGCGACGCTTTAATGCACACTTTTAATCAAAAACATATTATCGCATTACGCAGCGTTATGTGCGCTTTCGCTCTCAACGTTTTATTTCGTCCTTTTTAGGTGTACGCGCCGAGGGAAAATTAATTTCGCTCGAGTTCTATTCATAAATTCAATTGAATTTTCAATAACTACGAAAAAAAATCATCGAATTTAAATTGACATTTTGTTGCTTGATGGCTCATTCCTATATCGCGGGGCGAGGGCGAGTGAAATATTTATGGTTATCAATATGCCTAATGAGCAATCGATGTGTGCACGATAGCCCAACCGGAACGTGACACGCGTCAGTGTGCGCATTAAATCGGTAATTAAAATCGCCGGTTGTTCGGTAAAGCAAAATGCACCATTCCTAATGATAATCATATCCATAATAATAATTTATCACTGCTATAGAAATTTTCAAATTTTGTTAATGCATAAATTTTATTGATTACGTATTATTTGATAATAGTACAACAAAATCATTGAAAACATGATTTTACAAAACTAAAAATTAATCGATTAAACCTCTGACTCACTTTGTTTTAAATACATTTTAATGATTATAATAGTTTGTAGTTTTCCGCGCTTAAATCAACGCATTGATGGCAAAGCGCGACGGCAATGTGCAAAATTTACACTCGATCGAAGGCGGGGGCGGCTGATGGAGCCATTAAAGCATAAAACATGTACATCGCGCAAGAAGGGAGAAGATTAAAAGACGATATCGGCACGTCCGACGGGCGCCGGTCGTCCAATCTAGCAGTTTCCGGTCGCCCCACCCCGCCGCCTCGATCCGTCGATGGGGGACTTATATTAGGGATCGTCCTGCACGTTCGTGCAAAATCCCATACAGATAGCTCGCCAGCACACGACGCAGAGTATCGGGTTGATTGGATAAAGTAAAGGCCATTGTAAAGTGCCAATGGGCCATTATGGAAGAAGATGTGTGTAGTAGGGCGGTGTGCGGTGAGCTGTAGTTACACAACCGCCTCACACGTCTCGTCATCAAAGCGACACGAAGGTCACGAACTGCCACAATCAACCCTCATATTCACTCCAGCGTCTAATTTAGTAGCTTGACTAATTGGGACGTGAGTTTGTGAATCTTGTTTTTTTTTCTTGAAAGAAAAATATCAAAATTTATATTATCCGGAAATGAGGCATCTCTTCTCGATTCAATGGCTTTTACTACTTTAACAATAAGGACCCACAAAGAGGAAAAGGAAATAGGAGAGACACAAATCTCAATTAACTACTGGAGATATGTCTTTTATAGTGTTCCGGTGTTAAAAGTCGTGTTCCCGTTTCTTCGCCAACGTCCTCAGCCTTCGGGGCGTGTTTTCGTTCGTTGGTCGGTCCTTTTGTGGCACAATACGAGCACATAAAAAGAAAAATATCAACGACCGGCACAATGCACTACGTGGTGATAAAAGGAAATGAAAACTCACAAAAATATAAGCGCACAAAGAAAAAAACAGCGAAAAAAAAGTTGATAAATCTATTCGCAGATAAAGTACGAATCGAAATTTGTACTAATAAAATTAGTAATAACTATAAACATGTAAATATTTGTGTAAGAAAAGGTGTTGTTGATAGGATGCATAGTAAAAAGTATAAAAAAATATGATTTTGGACCAGCGCCGCCGCAAAAGACATAAAATCAACACTAGTCGGCCATTCCTAAGCGAATTTCCCCATCGGGGCCGTTGAGCACTGATATGAAATTTGAATTCGCCCGAATAAACGCGACGCGCTTTCGATGTTTTTGCCAATTTTCCACTTTACTTTATATTTCGTTTTATAGTTTGCCTGCGTATTGCATTATGTAGAAAGTATGCGAGTTGCCTTTCTTGTCGAGATCTTTAAAATAAAAAATAAAAATCTATACCAACCAGGTGTTTGGGGTACAATGTGTTGAATGAATGACTACACCAGATAACAACGGTGAAACACTCGGTATAATAGAGATATCTAGTTGAGGAAGCAATGCGGAGGACCAAAACATAAATGCGGAAACGATTTGTCCAATTTGCATTTTCATATTTTCTCCAGGCGCACACGTTCAGGGTGAATATTGTACAACCTAGAACATGCATTTGCATCGAAAGAAAACACGTGAAACTGGTAAGTTGGCAAAGACCGCGACCAAAAACAAACTTGGCGTACAAAAAAAATTGATAAAAACTCATTTCCACGAGAAGCGACATTAGATATGCAGTTATTAAATAGAGTATGAGTGCACCTTGTGTTTTTTTCTGCGCCCGGAACTATTAAACTCAACAAACACGATTACGAAGAGAAAACAAGCACGCAAACGTTTGCAAACATCTCCGGGGGAGGAAAACGTAAAACTTGATATTTTTCATCCCAACTCATTTTGCAAGAGGTATTTAAAATTATTACGATCATCATGGGCATTACAAAACTAAAACTAGCGCTATATATATTTCATGTTTTTTCTGTCTTTGATAAAGCAGCGAGTCGAGGAAAAGCGATAAAAGCAGTTAATGCAAACTAGGTACCATTGCAACTGCAGAATGTGCGCACGGAAAAATTCGCCAACAAAAAAATTAATTACAATCACAGCAATCAGACCGGCATTACCGTCATCCATAACATTCTGAAATTCTCATTAATGCCAACATTATGAACGC